GCTATAACAAGTACTCAAACAATATATTTCACTTTGTGTTTCTATGGGGGTGCAAACTGTTGAAATCTTTACTTAATGTATACTAAACTGATCCTCTGTAAAAAAAAAAAAATTATCAACTCCCAACTTGACTCTCACTGGGATTAAACATGACAATAGGTCTGATCTGATTTCATCATCATTTAAAAAAAATCATCTATTATTTTTCACTTTATGTTTCTGTGTGAGAGCAAACTGTTGAAATCCTTACTTAATGTATACTAAGCCTGGGACTCCTAGGTGGCGCTGCAGGCCCCTGACTTAGGGCTGGAGCCTTGCAGCAGTGTTAAGGGACCACGGCATGAACACCTAGCCGGTTTAACTCGATGATGTTCCTGCCAACACCGACAGGACTCCACCCCACTCAGAACATGAACTTGTTCACAGAATGAGGAAATGGACCAGCAATTTGGAAGGATTTCCCCCAAACACAGGCTGGGAGGGGTCGCAAAGTGGAAAGAAGGCTCAAGAGCCCTGGCAGTGGGGAGGTCAAGGCAAAGCCCATCCAGCGAGGGCAGGACCCTGGGTCTCTGTCCAAGCCTGAGGTGTGAGCCCACCCAGGGCACCCCACACCCGGCCAACACACCAAGCAGACAGTACCTCCAGAACACTGACGCCTCCCCCAGTTTTGATCACATTTCTTCTAGAAAGAGTAGCCTGATCTGGAGACAGAGAGGCATGGGAACAAACACCAAGCAGGCTGATCCATTTTATCTAGAAAATGCCTGGAGCCAAAACCAGCCCCTGGGCAAAAACACTGTGCACAGTATGTGAAAAGCAGGCCACCGGAGCGAAGTCCAGAGAGCGCGATCCCTCGCCTCATTTCTTCCCCTTGGCTCCTGGAACTGTTGTCTGCGTCAGCTCGCTCACCAGGCGCCCTGGAAGAAGGAGGCGAAGGCTCACGGGAGCAGTGTAGATAGAGTAGAACACACATGGGAGCAGGGCAGCCCGGCCTGCAGAACTGCACTTGCCCCCCCCCCCTTTTTTTTTTTTTGACAGGCAGAGTGGATAGTGAGAAAGGTCTTCCTTTTCCATTGGTTCACCCTCCAATGGCCGCCAAGGCTGGCACGCTGCGGCCGGCGCACCGCGCTGATCTGAAGCCAGGAGCCAGGTGCTCTCCTGGTCTCCCACGGGGTGCAGGGCCCAAGCACTGGGGCCATCCTCCACTGCACTCCCTGGCCACAGCAGAGAGCTGGCCTGGAAGAGGGGCAACCGGGACAGAATCCGGCGCCCCGACTGGTACTAGAACCTGGCGTGCCGGCGCCGCTAGGTGGAGGATTAGCCTATTGAGCCGTGGCGCCGGCCATCGGCCCATTTTCATATCTTAGACGAGGCGTCCAGAAGATGAGGCCACTCGGCTTTCCCTGTGCCCTGCTGGCTGAGCTGGGAGCCGGCAGCATTGTGCTGGGATGTGGGCAGCAGGAGAGGCCCTGGCCGGGCTGCTCACGTCCCTCCCTCACGTGGCCAGCCCCTCAAGGGAGAAAGGCAAGGCTCTGAGTCCCGAGGAGGGGGCCTCTCCCACACCACCATCCCACCTCAGGTACCGTCAAAGCTCTCCCGGAGCCTGAACTCAGGAGGGAGTGCAGCCGCAAGAGCAGAAATTTCACAGAGGCCCTCACCTCACCAGCAATTGAGGAACACGGGAAACCAGAAGGACCAACTTACGCCTGATTTATCTGGGTGGGAAAAGGAAAAGCAAAAAAATGAAGCATTGTGTTTATTTGTTTTCATGATTTTAAAAAGGATTTATTTATTTGAACAACAGAGTGATACACATACACATAGACAGAGAGATCTTGCAACTGTTGGTTCACTCCCCAAATGGCCACAACAGCCAGGCCTGGGCTAGGCTAAAGCCGGGAGCCTGCCACTCCATTCTGGCCTCTCACATGGGTGGCAGGGACCCAGGCACGTGGGCCATCATCTGCTGCCTTCCCGGGTGCGGTAGGCAGAGGCTGGGTTGGAAGTGGAGCAGCTGGCACTCGGACTGCCACTCTGACTTGGGATGCAGGTGTCACAAGTAGCAGCTTAACCCCCTGTGCCTCAAGATTTGTTTTAATATTCTCTTATCCCGCTAAAATACTTTCATTCTATCAGCTAAAATCCCAAGTCTTTGATGGTGGTTTTTATTTCCTTTTTTCCCCAAAGAAACTTTTTATTTAAGGAATACAAACTTCATGCATTTCGTAAGTACAGCTTTAGGAATATAGTGATTCTTCCCACCATAGCTGCCCTCCCACCCACTCTCCCACCCCTCCTCCTCCTCCCTCTCCTCTTCCCAGTCCCATTCTCCACTAAGATCCATTTTCAATTCACTTTATACATGGAACACCAACTCTATACTAAGTAAAGAGTTCAACAATTTGCACACACAAAAAAAAAAGAATAGAAAAAAGAAAAAAAACACCTCTTCCTCAGTACTTGAGACAAGGGCTGTTCAAAGTCATTGCTTCTTGAAGTTAATTTCACTTCTTTTTTTCTTTTAAGAAATTTAATTAACTTTAAAGAAGCACCCAAGAATGATACATCTTTTGGGAGCACTTAGACAGTTATAATACAAGTCTTTGAGGACAGAGGTCCTGCATGGGAAGTTAGTGCACAGTGACTCCTGTTGTTAATTTAACAATTAACACTGACTCACTACGTCAGTGATCAGCCGAGGCTCTTGACACGAGCTGCTGAGGCTATGGAAGCCTTTTGAATCCACAAACTCTGTCAGTATTTGACAAGGACATAAGCAAAGTGGAAGTTCTCTCCTCCCTTCAGAGAAAAGTACCTCCTTCTTTGATGAGCACTTCTTTCCACTGGGGTCTCACCCAGTGGTGGGTTTTCAAATGTCAGCACACCCAGGGGCAGATTTGGGAGCACCAGGGAGCCCATCTGACACCTGGGGCCCCTCTCAGAGGAACTGAAGACTGGGCCATCTATTTCCTCCTCATTCCACGTCAGGCTCAGAACCTCCTTCCAACAGCCAAGGTCACAGTCCCCGCCAGTTCTTTTCATTCCTGAAGACCCAGCATCCGCAGGGTCAGAATGTCCTGTCCTCACCTCCCTCGTTAGGGCTCAGAGGACCCAGGTGCAGCTGGGCAGGCCTCTGGACAATGCCCTCTGCCCAGCCCAGCTGCACTGACTCTTTCTGGCTGTCAGTGGTTTGGCATTTGTTAATAGGTTTGATGGGCACAGATTTTTGGTTTTTCCCTTTCTTCATTTTTTAATATGAAAAGTGTTTTACTGAAACATAGCATACATACAGAAAAGGACATGAATTCTGAATGTACAGCTCACTAAATGATCAGGAAGCGAACTGACCAAGGTAACCGTCACCCAGCTCAAGAGAAAGGACGGGCAGGTGTTTGGCATCACAATTAAGGTGCTCATATCCCTCATTCCCGTGCCTGGGTTCAAGTCCTGGCTCTGCTCCTGATTCCAGCTTCCCATAAATGCACACTGTGGCAGGCAGAAAGTGATGGCTCAGGGATCAAGGTCTCAGTCACACACCCGGGAGACCCAAATTGAATTGCAGGCTCCCGGTTTTGGCCTGGCCCAGCCCCAGCTGTTGCAAGCATTTGGCGAGTGAACCAGTAGATAGGAGCTGTCTATCTGTCTCTCCATTTCCCTTTGTGTGTCTCTCTCTGCCTTTCAAACAAACAAACAAACAAACATTTAAGAGGAAATATAAAAGGACAAGACACCACTGATGGCCGCAGCCACAAGCAGTCTGAGAAGGCTCGTCACGGGGAGCTGAGATTCCGTGCCGGCGGGGGTGCTGTGTGTTCTCTCATTTCTCACTGTGCTCTGACTTTGCACCAGGGAGATCTTGTCTCACCCCAGGTCGAAGGCTTCTAGGGGGTTAGGATCCCAGGACGTGCCAGTTCCTCTGAAGGTGCAGTTTGAGTGTCAATGAATCCAGCCCCCAGCGTGCAGGTGCCCCGCCCTGGTCAGAGGCTGTGGGTTAGGCCCCAGGCTCTCCTTTGTGGAAATCACAGGAGAACAAATGACCAGGTCTCCACGCAGGCAGCGCCGTTACCTCCACCCTGCAGAGACATCCTGGGATGCGGAGAGCAGTGATCCAGCTCCGCGAGTCACTCAGACGCAGTCCCTGCACTCACAGAGAAAGCTCACGCACCCAGCACATCGGGAACCAGCAGGAAAACTTCGCAGAATTCTTTTATTTAATTAAAAAGTATATTTGTTCCAGGGACTGGTGTTGTAGCATAACAGGTAAAGCTGCCACCTGCGATGCCAACATCCCATATGGGTGCTGCTGCACTTCTGGTCCAGCTCCCTGCTAATGTGCCTGGGAAGGCAGCAGAGGATGGCCCAAGTGATTGGGGCCCTGCCACCCACATGGGAGACCTGGAAGAAGCTTCTGGCTCCTGGCTTCAGCCTGGCCAAGCCCTGACCATTGCGGCAGTTTGTGGAGTGAACCAGCAGATGGAAGATCTCTTTCTCTCTCTCTCTCTCTCCCGCTCTTCCTGTAACTCTGCCTTTCAAGCAAATAAAATAAATCTTTAAAATTATATATCTACACATATATATAATTTATATTTGTTTTCATTTTATTAGTGAGGCAGAGAGACAAGAGAGACAAATCTGCCATCTGCTGGTTCACTCCCCAAATGACCACGAGAGCCAGGGCTGGGCCAGGCTGAAGCCAGGAGCCAGGAATTCAATCTGGCTCTCCTATGTGGATACCAAGGACCCAAGTACTTGAGTCATCACCTGCTGCCACCCAGGGTATACCAGTGGGGAGCTGGATGGGGAGCAGAGGAGCTGGGACATGAACTCAGGCACTTTGATATGGGATGCAGGCATCCCAAGTGGCAACTTAGCTTGCCAAATCCTGCCCGCCCTCTGTAAGTACCCCTGCGCCAGTCCTGGCTCTCCCAGGGAAGGGGTGGGGGCTGACTCCCAGCCTGGGGGAGAGGACCGTGCCCTAACCAGCTGTCTCTCCTCCGCAGGCCCTGCCATCCCAGTGGGTGTGGACGTGCAGGTGGAGAGTCTGGACAGCATCTCCGAGGTGGACATGGTGAGCAATGCGCCGAGCCCCACAGCCTCCAGGGAGAGGGATGGTGTGGCTGGTATGCTGTGATAGCCCACGGCACGGTGCATCTCAGTGGTGCAGGCTGTGGCCCTGTGGGCAGGGCACGATCAGGAAGTGGTGAGATGAGGGTGCGGGAGTTGGCCTGGGTGCAGTCAAATCCAGAGCAGGGTTCTCGAGTTTCACGGATAAAAATGGCTTCAGGAATTGGTCAAATGCAGATTCCTGGGCCCTTCCCCACAGTTCCTGATCCAGACTCTCAGGGAGCGAGGCATAGGGTTTTGTGTGTTGAATACATCCCTCAAGTCGGGGAAGTGGTCAGATGAACCACACGTGGAGGAGCTCACGAGGCAGTTTCAGGCTAAAATTTTGCAGTTGTTTGATTTTTTTTAGAAAGATTTGTATATTTATTTGGAAAGCAGAGTTAGAGGGTGAGAGACCGAGAGAGAGGGAAAGAGATCTTTCATCTGCTGGTTTACTTCCCAAAAGGCCACAATGCCTGGGGCTGGCCCGGTTGAAGCCAGGAGTCTGGAATTCCATCTGAGTCTCCCACATGGATGCAGGGGCCCGCGCAATTGGGCCATCTTTTGCTGCTTTCCCAGGTGCATTAGCAGGGAGCTGGATCAGAAGTGGAGCAACTTTGAGCCAGTACCCATATGGGAGGTGCAGGTGGCTGTTTAACCCATTGCACCACATAGTGGCCCCCAGTTCTTTGATTTTAAAAGAAAGTTATTGGGGCCAGTGCTGTGACATAGCGGGTAAAGCCACCGCTACCTGCAGTGCCAGCATCCTGTATGGGTGCCAGATCAAGTCCTGGCTGCTCTACTTCCTATCCAACTCTCTGCTATGGACTGGGAAAGCAGTAGAAGATGGCCCAAGTCCTTGGGTCCCTGCACCCACGTGGGAGACCCGGAAGAAGCTCCTGGCTCCTGGCTTCGGATCGGTACAGCTCCAGCCATTACGGCCAATTGGGGAATGAACCATCGGATGGAAGACTTCTCTCTCTCTCTCTCTCTCTGCCTCTCCTTCTCTCTCTGAACAACTCTGACTTTCAAATAAATAAATAAATCTTTTAAAAAAAAGAAAGTTATTTATTTACTTATTTGAGAGGCAGAAAGAGAAACAGGGAGAGCTTCCATCCTAGTTCATTTCTCAAATGCCCACAGTAGTTGGGGCTGGGCTGAGCTGGGACCAGAGTTGCAGCCAGGATCCAGGAGCCAAGAACTCAGTCAGGTTCTCCCAAGGACCCATCAACTCCACTGCCCTCCAGGCTCTGCATTGGCAGGAAGCTAGAATCACGAATCTAACACAAGTTCTCTAATGCGAACATGAGCATCTTACCCAGTGCCTTAACTGCTAGGCCCAGTGCCCAAGCTGGCTCTGAGGTCGTCCATTCCAGCTGTGAGCACAGATCCCTCACCACCACCACTGCCGGCTCTGTGGCAGTCCTCCACACCCCTACCTCCGCTGTCCCGCCACAGGTGAACACCCCTGCAGGGGCTGGCCTGGAGAGGAGTGCCCCTTCCGCTCCTCCAGCCCCATCTCTGTGTCCTTTTCTCTGCTACTCTTTCAGTTTGCAAACCTGCTCTTTCTTCTGCCTCAGGAGGCTCATGTGTGTTCTCTGGCCAACCTCATGGCTGACCTCTTGTTGTCCTTCAGGTCCCAGGGCACACATGACATATTCAAATAGCCTGTCTGGGCCACCTGATCTAAAGGGTATCCATGTTTCTGCCAGGGGATTCCAGTTGAATCCCATCAAGGTGGCATGTACCAATGCCATCTCACTAGTCCAAGTGATCAATTTCTGTTCACAATTGATCATGATGATAGGACTAGGAGCCAAGGGGATCACATAGACAAGACTAGTGTCTGCAAATACTAACTGATAGAATAAAAAAGGGAGAGAATGATCCAACATGGGAAGCAAGATACACAGCAGACTCAGAATGGCAGATGTCCTAAACAGCACTCTGGCCTCAGAGTCAGACCTTAAGGCATTCGGATCCGGCTGAAAAGCCCATGAGAGCATTTCAGGTATGGAGAGCCAAGACACTCTGGCAAAAAAAAAAAAAAAAAAAAAAATGACCTGAATGAAAGCTCTCCATGAGTGAGATCCCAGTGGAAAGAACAGGTCATCAAAGAGGGAGGTACCTTTCTCTGAAGGGAGGAGAGAACTTCCATTCTGACTATGACCTTGTCTAAATATGATCAGAGTCGGTGAACTCAGGGGGCTTCCATAGCCTTGGCAGCTCATGACAGGAGCCTAGGGTGATTGCTGATGCCATAAACAAGAGTGTCAATTTGTTAAGTCAACAACAGGAGTCACTGTGCACTTACTCCTCATGTAGGATCTCTGTCCTTAATGTGCTGTACAATGTGATTTAATGCTATAACTAGTACTCAAACTGTATTTTTCACTTTGTGTTTCTATGTGGGTGCAGACTGTTGAAATCTTTACTTAATATATGCTGAACTGATCTTCTGTATATAAAGATAATTGAAAATAAATCTTGATGTCAATGGAAGGGGAGAGGGAGCGGGAGAGGGGAGGGTTGTGGGTGGGAGGGAAATTATGGGGTGGGGGAAGCCATTGTACTCCATAAGCTGTACTTTGGAAATTCGTATTCATTAAATAAAAGTTTAAAAAAAAGAAAATTAACACTGATAGATTATGCTCATCTGCATTTCAATTCTTACTCATTTGCTGCCTAGGTCCCAATAATAACCTTTACTGCAGAAGAAAACCCAAAATGCTGTTATGTTCAGTGCCATATGTGTTTAATATGGAACAGCTCCTCCACCTCTCTTTGTTTTTCATGTTACTGACGTTTTTAAAATTTCAGGCCATTATTTTGTTTTTTTCTTTTTTTTAGAAAACTCTTATTTAATAAGTATAAATTTTGAAAGTACAAAAAAAAAAAAAAAAGGGTATCCATGTTTCCCTCATGGCCCAGGTCATTACTTGCAACTCTGCTATGTTTTGGCTTTGGGTGTCCCTGTATTCTGGTTGTCTCCTGCACTTGACTGTGAGCTCCAGAAGCACAGGGACTTGTCTTTTCTTCCTGACCCCTGTGTGGGCCTCCTGGGGGCACTGAATGTGAGAATAAGTGAAAGTGAAGGAGGCATCTCCCTCCCATTGCAATGCTGTCATGTGCCCTGATAGACCCAGCATGGCAGAGCTGATATGATAACTGACACTGTTCGACCCTTATAGCTCCAGCACCTCATAAAAGATGGGGTTCAGGTGTGACAGGTGCAAATGTGACAGCCTCCAAAATGCTAGAGCATACACTGCCAGCCCCCCTGGATATCCATAGTTAGGGCCAGGGCAGCCTGGCTGTCGTAGAACTCAGTCAGCCCAGATGTGGGTGTGCAAGGCCTCCTGCCCTCCTCCAAGGGGGATTCAGGATCCCAGGGAAAGATACTCAAATGCCGTGCCTGTCTTAGAGCCACCACCAGCCGATGGGAAAGCAGGTGGACTCCAGCACTAAGAGCTGGCATCTGTGCACCTGCAGTGTGATGTCTTCCTGGATGAGGTGCCTCAGAGCATGCTCTCCTGCAGTGTGGAAAGAGCCAGAAGGGGCGTTTGGCTGATCTCTTCCTGCTTACGTATTGGCTATTCTCTTAGCGGATGGCAAGAGAGTTCCAGCAAGTGCTGATGCCCGGGATACAGGATAAGCTTTCAGGGTGACATTAACACAGGTGTTGAGCCACCGAATCCCTCATCCATTTATTTCCCACTTTTCCATCCAGCAAATGTACATTGAGCATCTGCTGTGTGCCTTGCCAGGCACTAAATTCAATGGTAAGTAGAGACTCAGGGATGAGAAGGACACAGTTCTGCCTTCAAGGATCTCACAAGTCTAACGGTAGGAGCTTTCCTAAGAGGGACACTTGACTGTGCAGGTTTCTAGAAGTGTCTACGAAGCTGAAATCGAGTGGTTAGCCAGGGAAGTAAGGAACCATATGGGAGGAGGTCCAGGTGAGAGAGACCAGGGCTTTGGGGAGATCCCTGCCCTGCCAGCCTCACAGCTGCAGTTCTCATTTGCACACCCTGAGGTTGCTCAGTCTCCTGGCTCCAACCTCACGAGGTGCAAACCGGGCTATTCTCTTTCTGACTGCAGTGGGCCCATTGCCCCGGCCATTGTGTCACAGGGCTCCAACGCTGGGGCTGAGCCTGAGGTCCATTACCATGCTGAAGGGTGGGTCGACTGCCAGGAAGAAAGGTTTCTAAGATGTTTCTGTGTGCTCTCACCACCGGCCCCCACAGGACTTCACCATGACCTTGTACCTGCGGCATTACTGGAAGGATGAAAGGCTGGCCTTCCCCAGTGCCAGCAACAAGAGCATGACCTTCGACGGCCGGCTGGTGAAGAAGATTTGGGTCCCTGATGTCTTCTTTGTTCACTCCAAAAGGTCGTTTATTCACGACACCACCACTGACAACATCATGCTGAGGGTGTTTCCAGACGGCCACGTGCTGTACAGCATGAGGTACCCGTCATGGCGCCGTCGCTCCTGTGCCCAGTGTCATTCCAGTGTGCGTGGTTGGTCCTGGTGACCCTGAAGTTTGTCACTGCACTTGGGTCTGTGGACTACGTGGCTGGCATGAGCCTTCTGATGCCGGCTGGAATTGCTCTAAGATGAGATGTCCACCCCAGTAGGTGGTGACTTCCCATCGCTGGGGATCTTAGGCTGGGCTAGATGCTTGGCTCTAATGAGTTACTAGAGACAATGACCTCTACACCTTCCATCCCTAAGAGTCTGTAATTCCAGCTGATTGGTGTTGAAGATAAAAAATGGTAACAACAACAGCAACTATCTGTTGGGTGCTGGTGCAGATTGGCTTCTGAGCTAACTTGAGGGATTAAAGCAGTCTTATTCATGTCTTCCTGATCTGCATGTGCAGACTCAAATGTGAATACCAGGGGCTAGAGCTCTGGTGTAGCAGGTAAAGCCACAGCCTACAGTGCTGGCATCAATATGGATGCCAGATCAAGTCTGTGGGGAGCAACCCGGACTAGACTGAGTTACTGGAATTAAGACTTATTCTATGCATCTGCTCTCCCACAATATGGCGCTGGGAGAGAAGTAAACAGCTTCCGCACAGCTGCCTCCAGTTCAACCAATTAACTGTAGGACTTGCTCCTGATTGGAGAGCAGCGTACTCGGCGTGTGGGCAGCCGAGTTGGGATTGGCGGAGGAGGACTATAAAGGAGGAGAGAGACGGCATGCACCGGGAACATCTATGGGGAACATCTAAGGGAACCCGTGCAGCCCCCGAGAAAGCCGGCCGGCGGTGTGCCGCTCCCCTGCGGAAGTGGGGAATGTGGCCAGGGGGAACTGCCCTTCCACGGAGGTGGAAGGGATAGTAGCCAACCCGGGAAGAACCAGCAGCAAACCCGGGGAGGGCCGAGCAGATGAAAGAACAGCGCAGGGTCCTGTGTTGCTCCTCCACGAAGAGGGGGAGCGACATAATGGTGCCGTGACTCGGATATGAAGCCTAGGCAGGGTTTAGTGTCGTTCCTCCACGAAGAGGGGGAGCGACAAAGTCCTGTCTGCTCCACTTCCAATCCAGCTCTCTGCTGATGGCCTGAGAAAGCAGTGGATTATGACCCAAGTACTTGGGCCCCTGCACCCATGTGGGAGACCCGGAGGAAGCTCCTGGCTCCTGGCTCCGGATTGGCCCAGCTCCAGCTGTTGAGGCCATTTGGGGTGTGAACCAGTGGATGGAGGACTTCTTTCTCTGCCTCTCCCTCTCTGTAACTCTGCCTTTCAAATAAAACAAACAAACAAACAAATAAATCTTTTAAAAATAAGTAAATAAATAAATGGGAACACCAGAGCCCGCCTGGTGCTAGGTGAGGAAAGGACTGGGGGTGGGGGCCCAACCTCCCAGGCATCTCTGGGGGAGGTGACCCTGTCAGCTGAGGGCAATGCCCAGAGAAAGGTGCAGGTGTGGCCCCTTAGCAGCCAACACCTCCAGTAGCTGTGGGGGAGGGGAGGGTGCCCAGCCTAATAAAGAGGATTCAGTGGAGCGCTCAGAACACCTGCTACAGAAGACAGAACTCCGTGGGTCAAGGTTCTGTGACTTAGGTATCTATGTTTCCAAACGAGGGTGCAGCTGCTCTTGATTCTGTCTGTCATGTGCAGCTGCTCTTGATTCTGTCTGTCATGTGCTGTGTCCTCCTTGCTCTGGGAGAGTGAATGAACCAATAACTCACTGCACAGCCAACGTGTGTGTTTGGATTGTCTAGGATTACGGTCACTGCCATGTGCAACATGGATTTCAGCCACTTCCCCCTGGACTCCCAGACCTGCTCTTTGGAACTGGAGAGCTGTAAGTATCAGTGTGCCCAAATCCCTTCCCCTTATTCCCTCTCTACTCCTTGTGCCATTTTGGTAGCCATGGGATAGGATCCTGCCTGTCAGTGTTAAGACCTGTGTCCCCCACAGGTCTCAACCCTGTCTCAGAAGCAAAGGGGTCAAATGAACTTATTTTCCTCTCCCCAAAGATGCATACACAGATGAAGATCTGATGCTGTATTGGAAGAATGGGGACGAGTCCCTGAAAACAGACGAGAAGATCTCCTTGTCTCAGTTTCTGATCCAGAAATTTCATACGACATCCAGACTGGCCTTCTACAGCAGCACTGGTAGCTAACTTTTGCCTTGGTCTAATTCAGATATGGAAGAGAAATAGTAGAATGGTTCTTCAGCCTCTCCATTTCCAATGAACACAAATTTTAGTTATTAAAATATTGCATAGTCCTACACAACACAAATAGTCCTTAGAAGCAGAAAGCAGAGAGTTAGAGTCCCATCATTAGAGGGAATCACTCCTAATGATTCGTGGACACCCTGACCACATCTTGCTTTCATGGTGGGATTTTTGCAAGGGTGGGCTTGTAGTTGATATGCTAGTCTGTGAGCTGATTGGTTCTGTTTAACAATATAGACAAATAGCTTCCCAAGGACATGCACTTATTGCCTATGTTGAGAGCCACAGACTGGTCGTTGAGTGCTTCGCTCAACCTTCCCTTGGGTCGTGGGCCACATCCAAAGTTTTGAGAGCCCCCATTTTCAGGTCTTCTGTAAGAACACCGTTACCTAACTCCAGTTTCCTGTGGCTGCTGTAACCGAATACAACAAACACAGAGCTTGACACAACATAAATGTGTTCGCTTACACAGTTCTAGGGGCCAGCAATCTGAAGCCAGGATCCCACATCTCCCCACTTTCTGGGGCAGCCAGCAGGGCCTGGCGCTCCCTGGCTTGTGGCCTCCCCGTGGATAGCTACGTCTGTCACCACGCAGCCTTCTCCCTGCATCTCTGTCTTCATGTAGTGTTCCCCCCACTGTTTTGGCCCACATTTCCCTCGCCTGTAAAGACACCAGTTCACTGGACCAGAGCCCACTTTAATCCAACATGACCTCATTTTACCTTGAGTACCTCTGCGAAGACCCGATTTCCAGATACGTTAGGGCTGCCACATGACTTTTACGGGAACACAGTTCAACCCACGACAACTCCAAAGTGGCCATGGACCCTAGAGGACACCATTGCCCTTTGTTCCAGAGCAGAGAAACCAAAGCCCTTCCTGGGAAGCTTTTGTGCTACTCACTGCGCCTTTATGGCTGGCATGGCCCCCTGCCTGCCTCACCCACACCCCTCTGTCCACACATCAAACCCTGGAAAAGAGCCAGCCCTGGCCAAGGTTGTGTTGGTGTTGGGACAGCCGCAGGCCTGCTTCCATTTATGTCCGTAATGATCATCTTCATCCATCTCTTCTTCACTCTGATACGTGTGCCGTGCGATTTTCTTTTCTCACCTTAGCAAGGCCAAACCAACAAAGCCATTTCTCTTTTCCTTCCTTCCTTCCTTCCTTCCTTCCTTCCTTCCTTCCTTCCTTCCTTCCTTCCTTCCTTCCTTCCTTCCTTCCTTTTTTTGACAGGCAGAGTTAGAGAGAGAGAAAGGTCTTCCTTCCGTTGGTTCACCCCCCAAATGGCTGCTGTGGCTGATTGGAAGCCAGGAGCCAGGTGCTTCCTCCTAGTCTCCCGTGCAGGTACAGGGCCCAAGCACTTGGGCCATCCTCCACTGCCTTCTCAGGCCACAGCAGAGAGCTGGACTGGAAGAAGAGCAAACGGGACAGAACCGGCGCCCCAACCGGGACTAGAACCTGGGGTGACGGCGCTGCAGGCCGAGGATTAGCCTAGTGAGCTGCGGCACCGGCCCAAAGCCATTTCTAAGAGTTTCTTATATACCATTTATTATGTGCCACTATTTTAAGTGCTTTCAGTGGATTAACTAAGTTTTATTCAGCAAACCTATGGTATAGATGTTATTATTCCCAGTTTACAGTTGAGAAAACTGAGACTCAAGGATTGTTCATTGAAGTTGCACAGATGGTTAAGCAACCGGGCAATCTCCCTTAACCATTGTGTGTACTCTTAGATGTTCTATATGGATGTAGCTTGCCGGCCTGTTTTGTTCGCAAGCCTTCCTAGAGTACAGATGAAAGTGCATTCTACTCACTTTAGTTACTCTGTACTGCAGCAACAAGTTTCCCTGCCCCTGCAAAAGAGCTGTGACCCCACCCAAGCTTGCTCTGCTTGGAACAGAGTGTACAAGTTCAAGGCTCCTGGCTCCTCTTGGTGTTTCCAAGACAATACTCCTTGGCTTCCTTAGGCAGAAAAAAAAAAAAAAAAAGAATACTCAACCTCATTTCCCAAACTCCAGTTCTTATACAATATTGTTGCCATGTTTGTCTTACTTATGCACTGTATAAAAAGCATCAAAAATTTTGCTGGAAGTGCAAGCTATAAAAGGAACTTTGCACAGATCCCAAACATTTTTTTGGCAACAAAATAGATTTATCATTTAATTCCATTTTCCCTGAACTTTTTGAAGTCCTTGTCTACCATTTATGTTGCCATCAAATTGGTTTTTTCTTTAAGTCAACTCCCCTTTTGTTCTTTAGAGGGATGTAAAATTCTTTTACAAAACAGTAAATGGAAACTTGGTACCATTTGCTCTAAGTGGGAGATGACTTTAATAACAAATATGATGAACACAACAAGAGAAGTACCTGCCTCTGTACCCCTGAAACCACCTTGTGCTGCCACTGCGTGACTGTGCTTTGGGATGCACAGGGCCTGAGCATCCGTGAGATTCAGCATTGTCTGCTGAGGCTTGGCTGAGACGGGAGTAGGGTGAGGCTGTGCACACAGTTTCGGTCTGCTTCATACACTCACACTGTCCGTGGCACCAGCCTTGGTCTCAGTGGTTGGGTGATCATTTTGAGAATCACTTGGAACCTTGCAACCATGAATTGGTGGTTCTCAGATTGCTATAGTGAAACACATCTATGACATTATTTTTTTCCCCCGAGTGATAACTAAGTGGTAAATGACTTCCACAGGGTAGATGGACAGGCAGGAGTAGAACTGATGTCAGACCAGAGAGTTGAGTGAATGGCCTGTTTCTTTTGTGATGAATGTGGAAGTTTAGTGAGTGGCCAACCTCCAATAAAGGGGACGGTGATGAGAGCCCAGCTCTCGCGGCCCCTGACTCAATGGTATTGGCCTTAACAAGCTAAAACCACTCCGGCGTCTTATGCTTCTGAGCAGTGAGCCTCCCAGGAAATCTGGAGGGTTTGCAAGTAACAGACACCAAACAAACCACTAAACCTACACCCTGTTTAGTTCTGCCTTTCCCCGAAATATTGTGAGGAGAAGTTGGCTAATACCGACCAAGGCAGTAAATGCAATAGGTACCGGCAAGATATTTATTTATAGGAGAGAGAGTTCAGAGTTTGGAAAAGTAACATAACAAGCCAACAGATCCTTAAGCTGAACTTTCTGCCGAGGCTGTGCGTGATCTCAGGGAAGGAAGGATCCTAGGGGAGTTTGTCTTTAGCTCACCGATGAAAACTCACGGGCTTCTTCCTGTGTCCCCCAGGCTGGTACAACCGTCTGTACATCAACTTCACCTTGCGGCGCCACATCTTCTTCTTCTTGCTCCAAACCTATTTCCCCGCCACCCTGATGGTCATGCTGTCCTGGGTGTCTTTCTGGATCGACCGCAGAGCTGTGCCCGCCAGAGTTTCCCTGGGTAAAATCATGTGAAAAGGTGTGGTGGGGTGGCTATTTTTTCAACTGATCACTCCAGAAAGAAAAAGCAAAATCATTCCTCAGAGTTCTTAACTGATGGGTTGTCAGAGTCCGCGCAAGCTGCTTTCCCCCTGCTTCCTGCCTTTGCCATTTGGGTGCTGGCTTTGGTTTCCTGGGCTGCACCATGTAAACCGCAGGCATCTAGAACCACATCAGCTTCAGAGAGATGTAACCTATTCGGGAATCCATTTCCACAACAGGCAGTAATGGAGCCCCGTGCTTAGACAAACAAGACAATTCTGCAAAGGCCAAACATGTATTCTGTAAACACTGAAACTTGGTTTGCTGGCCTTGTTTAAACAGTTGCAGGATTTGGAGGCAACGCCTAAAATACGTGATTTCTGGGAATGAGAGGGCCACGTTCCCTTGAGCTGTGGTTTTAGCCCTTCCCAGACCCCGAATTCCTTCGCTTACGCGCATTGTTGTCAATTCAGACCAACATGAGATTGAGCCCTGAGAGTGGAGGAAAAACTAGCATGATAGACTTCCAGAAGTTTCTACAGTCTTCATGAGCTTCGTAAAGGTGGCTTAGAGGAGGAAGACGTGCTCATTCCTTGAGGTTTGGGGAGGTTCCTAGAGGTTTGCAATTGCACGTGGGATCAGGTTGTCTCTGAAGCATTCCTGACCTTGTCAGCGATAGCCCAGAGACCCAGAGTCCCTAGGGGCTGGAAGTGAAAGGGGAGGAGCAGCGGGCTGGGGGCGAATCCCGGCCCCTCCCTCGGCAGGGTGGAAACCTGGGGGGAGGGGAATTTCTCATTGGGTTTAAGAGAACCTGGAAGCTTAGTGACCCGCAGGGCGGGCAGGGCCGTTGTCCACAGCTGAGCTACCACGGGGTGTGGTTGCAGGCATCACGACGGTGCTGACCATGTCCACCATCATCACGGGCGTGAACGCCTCCATGCCGCGCGTGTCCTACATCAAGGCCGTGGACATCTACCTCTGGGTCAGCTTCGTGTTTGTGTTCCTCTCGGTGCTGGAGTACGCGGCCGTCAACTACCTGACCACGGTGCAGGAGCGGAAGGAGCGGAAGCTACGGGAGAAGGTGAGAGGTCTCTACGCTCTCCGGGCCTCCCTGCGCCGGCGGTCGGAGGAGGAGGAGGATACGGCTGGTTTGCGCCAGGGCAGAGAGGGGGTTTAGAGAAGCTTCTAACATCTGCCACCAAGGATCCCCGGTAGCAGAAAATCTAGGGACAGAGACCAGGAACAGGGAGAGGGGTTCTCAGGCCCAGCCCCGCCCCCCATGCTGGGCCACGCCTTCCTCGTGTATGCAGGCTGCTACCAGCGCCTTCCTCCCAGGGTGATTGTAGTCAGGGAGACCATGGACATGAACGCTGTACTGGGCTGTGGGGTTCTAGACACACGTGAAGCATCGCTATTCTCCCCGAGCCTGTCTCCAGAAAAGCTCTCCTGATGAGCAGAGAAGCGGAGAGTTCTAGAACAAAAGCTCCTTTATCAGTGCTCTGGCCCAGTGAGCATCCAGCTGCAGGAGAGACTAAGGCTAAACGTTTCACCCTCCAGGCCGTTGGAAATGCTGTGTGACTATGCTGTTCTGTGCTGTGCCAAATGTACTAGACCTTGAGAGAACAATGGGAAATTCTACAAAGCAACGTTCTTAGGCCTTTGGCCCAGGGCAGGATTTATAATCAGAATTTTATTAATCGCAGTAAGAAACAAAATGCTGACTTATTCCCATATTAGTGCTAATCACTAGACTAACCAAAGTGGTGTTCACGTAAAAGGTGTAGAGATCATGAAAATCCCATTAGGCATCTCTGGGTGACAGGTGAACCCTTAGCACAAGGGAGTTTTATTCATTTTTAATACATTTTTATTAAAAAATATAACAAACAGAAAAATTGAATATATGTTTGGGGTAGTATGTGATGTTTCATTACATGTGTACAGGTATACAAAGTATACACTGGGAAATGTCCAATCAGAGTACACAGGTTCATCCTTTCAAGAATTTAACACCTTTTTTTAATGAGAGCTTTAATTTTTAGAAAAAGATATGTTACCTTTTTCTTTTCTTTTTTTTTTTTTTATTTTTGACAGGCAGAGTGGACAGTGAGAGAGAGAGATAGAGAGAGAAAGGTCTTCCTTTGCCGTTGGTTCACCCTCCAATGGCCGCCGCTGCAGCCGGCGCACCACGCTGATCCGATGGCAGGAGCCAGGATCCAGGTGCTTTTCCTGGTCTCCCATGGGGTGCAGGGCCCAAGCACCTGGGCCATCCTCCACTGCACTCCCTGGCCATAGCAGAGAGCTGGCCTGGAAGAGGGGCAACCGGGACAGAATCCGGCGCCCCGACCGGGACTAGAACCCGGTGTGCCGGCGCCGCAAGGTGGAGGATTAGCCTATTGAGCCACAGCGCCGGCTATGTTACCTTTTTCAAAAATAGCATTTCAACATTCACATTACAACTGTCAAATATTTGCACATTGTCTCTGAATAACCTAAATTGTTTAAGAATTTATTTATTAAAGATGTATTTATTTACTTGAAAGGCATAGCTTTATCTGCTATGCCACAGCGCTGGCCCCAACAATTAGCTTTAAATATGCACTCAAGAATCATCTTTTGGGAGCACTTAGACATAGCTATAATACAACTCTGTGAGGGCAGAAGTCCTGCATGGAAAGTACGTGCACAGTGACTCCTCTTGTTAATTTTACACTCTTATGTGTGACATCAGTGATTGTCTGAGGCTTTTGACATGAGCTGCCTAGGCTCTGGAAGCCTTTTGAATCCACAAACTCTGTCAATATTTAGACAAGGCCATTAGCAAAGTGGAAGTTCTCTCCTCCCTTCAGAGAAAAATACCTCCTTCTTTGATGAGCACTTCTTTCCACTGGGGTCTCACCCACCGAGGTCCTTCATATAGGACATTTTTTGCCACAGTGTCTTGGCTTTCCATGCCTGAAATGTTCTCCTGCCCCAGCGCTTTCACTGTTTGTCCACACCTTGTCTGACATGCCAAGGGCCACTCTTTCTTTGACAAAAGCTTGTGTGGAAAACAGTGGTTTATTATAATGTTTGTCATTTCCTGATTTGAACTCAAAATCTTAGGAGAAAAATCTGTTTTCATTTTAGCAGAAAGAATTTCACTTTATGGGTGGGGAGCTGGCATAACAGTTAAGATGCCCACATTGCATAAGAGAGTCCCTGGGTTCAAGTCCCTGCTTGGCTTCTGAGCCAGCTTCCTGCTAATGTGCACCAAGGGAAGCAGCAAATGATGGCCGATGTACTTGGCTCTCTGCCACCCAGGTGGGAGATGTGGATTGGGCTCCCTGACCCTAGCCCTGGACCAACCCAGCCACTGTGGGCGTCTGCAGGAGTGAATTAGCAGATGGGAGCTCTCTGTGTCTGTTTCTCTCACTCTCAAATAGATAACACAAATAAATAAAAATTTTAATAATTTCAGTTGAGAGCAGGAAAAGACAAAAACAAAGACCTGTGCCTTTAAATAAATAAATAACTTCCAATGACAATGTCTCACAATTTTATCAAAGTTTAGTTATGATTATACTAAAATTTGAAGAGTTGAATAAATGATTTCTTGCTACCCTTTCATCTCTAACATCCATAAGCCTATGGATAGACATAGATATTAATTCAGGAATGCATCAATATGCTGAATACTGTTACTGATGGGATAATACATCAAAATAATCATGCCTGATTAAAAAAAAATGGCCCCAAATTTTAAACAATTTCTTCAAGTATCAAGGGTAAGGTACTTCAATGAAAGCATTCATGTATTTTCGCATTCTAAAGCTTCCTGGTCTTCATCTGAGTGTGTCCAGATCTGTGACAAAGGGAGGCAGTTTAGGGACTTCCTCTAATTCCCTCTCCCAGTTGGGAACACAGAGGAACTGAGGAGCGGAGAGCCCAGTCAGAAGTCCCCAGGTCGAGACGAGGACATCCGAGCTCATTGGCTCTGCCAAGCAGACCTCGCGCTTTTGGCCAACACCAGCCCGTCCAGGTGCCCACTGGCAGCCCACTCTGCTGACGCACACAGAGGGGAGAAGGCAAGCTGAACCATCTCTTCCCTTCCAGTTGAGAATTTCTTACAAACGTTTTCACACTCGCAGAAACAATGGGAAGAAGAGGGTAAGGGACATCAGTATACCCCACGTCTAGATCTGAGCCTGCTAACACTCTGCCATTTATTAGTGAGCTCTTTGTCTACAGAAACATACTTTTCTTGGTGTACTCGAACCATTAAGAAATACATTACGTGGGGCATGCATGTGGGGCTGTGGTTGGGACGCCACTTGGGATCCCTGCATTCCATGTTGGAATGCTTGGAGACAAGTCCTGTCTCCTCTCCCAATTCCAGCTTCCTACTAATGCACACCCTGGGGTGCATCTGGGAATGGCTCAAGTAGTTGGGTCTCTGCCACCTTCAGGAGAGACCCTGGCTGTTGCAGGCATTGGGGTGCAAACCAGCAGATGAGAGCTCTCTCTCTCTCTGTCTCATAAATAAATAAAATAAAATAAAACATCGCAGGCACCGTGACCATTGACTCTCAAGCATATTTCTTTAGCATAAGGATATTCTTGTACCTAATCATCTTTCTATTCATAACTGAAGAGGTGGAATCTTATAGTGGAATTGGAATATGTGGTTTTAAAACTGTCCTCTGGCACTAGCTGTGTGTTTTTAGGAGGACTGTGTAGGTCTCTGGGTTTTTGATTTGACTCTCCAGTTGAGCATGTGTGGACTAGATCAGCGGTTCTCAGTTCCAGCCACACAATAGAAGCCCCAGGGAGATGTGAATGAGTTAGTCTGCAGTGGGGCCTGGCTTGCGTTTCAAGGCACACCCAGGAAGTTCTAATACGCAGCCAGAACTACGTGACCTCTGGAGGTTCCAGTTCTGTCTGTTGGTGGCTCTGAGTAGCAGGGAGGCTTTGTTCTCGAACTGGGCCACCTCCTCTGCCCATCTCACAAGCCTGACCATGCCCTTGTGCTTGCTGCCCGCAGTTCCCGTGCATGTGTGGGATGCTTCATTCAAGAACCATGATGCTGGATGGAAGTTACAGTGAGTCCGAGGCCAACAGCCTGGCCAGCTACCCCAGGAGCCACATTCTGACGGAGGAGGAGAGGCAGGACAAGATAGTGGTCCACCTGGCCCTGAGCAATGAAGCCACCTCCTCCAGGAAGCGGGGACTCCTGAGGGGCCAGATGGGGCTTCGCATCTTCCAGAACACCCACGCCATTGACAAGTACTCCAGATTGATCTTCCCTGCCTCCTACATATTTTTCAACTTAATTTATTGGTCAGTGTTCTCCTAGGGGTTCCAAGGCTGCGCCTAGCAGTGGGCACGGACATCCCTGGGGCTGGCCAGCCACAGACACGTGGACCTGTTGACCACGCTCCCTCGCCAGACACAGCAGCCACTCCTGGGCGCCATGAGGAGCACCCCTCGCTCGGGAGCCCAGCTGCCCTTGCCCCGGACCTCGTGGGTGTGCTCCTTGTCCACGCTGTGTGCTGTGTCACACTTTGTGTGTCTCTGGGACCATCCTCTTCTGTTCTTGTGTGCGAACTAGTTCTCCCATGTAAAGCAGAAAGACTCCAATGCCTCCCGGATGCTCTTAGAGCCTCAGAAGCTGAGGAAGGCAAGGGAAAGGATGGACACGCTACGGGCGTTCTGGATAGGAGACAGCAAATTAGAATGACAGCAACATCTGCGAACCCCTGCGACTGGATTAAGTGCCTACCTAGGAAGGAGAAAACTCAGATCCCAGACCAGAGAAGGATTTGGCCTGTGTGAGTTGAACAACCCACACTGCGAGATGATTTTGCAGTCGGAGGGGAGACTGTTCCTCCATCCATCCCTTCAACCATTCATTAACTATCGAGTCCCACTCTGCCAGACTGTGGAAATGAGCAGCTGAGTCCTTTTCCTTGGAGAACATCTCTAAGCTGTGCTCTCACTTCTGCCCGCCCCCTCTCTCAACCCCAACTTTGCTCCTAGGGATGTCTAGAAAAGCATTTGGGCCAGCGCCGCGGCTCACTAGGCTAATCCTCCGCCTTGCGGCGCCGGCACACCGGGTTCTAGTCCAAGTCGGGGCGCCGGATTCTGTCCCGGTTGCCCCTCTTCCAGGCCAGCTCTCTGCTGTGGCCAGGGAGTGCAGTGGAGGATGGCCCAGGTGCTTGGGTTCCTGCACCCCATGGGAGACCAGGATAAGTACCTGGCTCCTGCCATCGGATTGGCGCAGTGCGCCAGCCGTAGCGTGCTGGCTGCGGCGGCCATTGGAGGGTGAACCAACAGCAAAGGAAGACCTTTCTCTCTGTCTCTCTCTCTCTCACTGTCCACTCTGCCTGTCAAAAAAAAAAAAAAAAGCATTTGGGATCGCCCGTGAGACCCCCACCCCAGAGCCAGCTCCATACTTCTCAGGCGGGGCAAGAGAATTAATGAGAGCAGAACTTGGTCTTGGGGAAGAAGGGGACATGGGTCTGCTGTGGAAATTCGGTTCAGATGCCATCCTACCTCCGTGTGGACTCCTCACTTATCCCCCAGTGGAGCAATGTCCAAGCCTCACCCCCTACTCTAACCCAAAGATCTCACACTCCAAAATGACTTCTGTGCTTCCACAAAGTCAAGACCTTTCCCTCTAATGCAGCAAAGCCCAGAGTTAGGAAAGCCATCTCATTTACTCAGTCCCCTAGCCTTGTGTTAGGAGGTTTCTAGATACGTAAGTGAATCTCTGATTAGTAGACATTCATGTGGTATCAAGGAAGTGATTTTAATAAAGGGGCTCTTCCTTTATAGCACTTGGAGACAGAACGCAGTTCTTGGGGAGCAGGGAGGGAGACCCACCTGGGGTTCATGGCTCAACAAAGGATGTTGGTCTGCCTTCTTCCCCAGAGCCCTCACCAGATTCCTGCTCTAAATTTTGTTCAAGTGTAGAAAAATGGTAGCACAAATAAAGGGATTCCCTCTGCCTTAAATGAAGTAAGCTCTGGCCTGTGGATCCTGCCCCGCGGCTCATGTCTCTAGGGACAGGGATGCTTCGTTCCTGAGGGTGAGGGCACACCTGAATACCAGAGCCTCCAGGAGTTGCAAGTCAGGGGCTGGGAGCTGCCTGATCCTCTCACTCCCTCACATTCCTGGCCTTGCGTCTGGCCCACCCACCTTTCACCCATCTCCCCCATTTCCAGGTATATTCCTTATGTGATCCTGGTCCCAGACACTTGCTTTGCTAGTTCCTTGCCTGTGCTAAGGCCAACACTCATCCTCTCCGGCCACCAACCCCGTGTGGACTGTGGTTTCCAGCCCACCGGTCTAGGGACTGTGTGATCAGGGCTGGCACTCAAAGGGCCAACTCCCAGCTGGGCAGGGTGCAGGCACCAGTAGAACACAGGTTACCTTGGTAGACTGTAAGTTTAGAAGGTTCCCAAGGCCATCCTTAAGTTTAATAATTGTCTAGAAAGACTTGCAGAAGTCAGAACAGCCAATATGATCATGGTTGCAGTTTTTTTTTTTTTTTTTTAATTTTTTACAGGCAGAGTGGACAGTGAGAGAGAGAGACAGAGAGAGAAAGGTCTTCCTTTGCCGTTGGTTCACCCTCCAATGGCCGCCGCTGCAGCCGGCGCACCACGCTGATCCGATGGCAGGAGCCAGGATCCAGGTGCTTTTCCTGGTCTCCCATGGGGTGCAGGGCCCAAGCACCTGGGCCATCCTCCACTGCACTCCCTGGCCATAGCAGAGAGCTGGCCTGGAAGAGGGGCAACCGGGACAGAATCCGGCGCCCCGACCGGGACTAGAACCCGGTGTGCCGGCGCCGCAAGGTGGAGGATTAGCCTATTGAGCCACGGCGCCGGCCTATGGTTGCAGTTTAAAAACAAAAGCTAGGGACCAGCACTGTGGCATAGTGGGTAAAGCCACCGCCTGCAGTGCCGGCATCCCATATGGGCGCCAGTTCGAGCCTCCGCTGCTTCACTTCCCATCCAGCTCTCTGCTGTGGCCTGGGAAGGCAGTAGAGGATGGCGCGAGTCCTTGGGCTCTTGGACCCGCATGGGAGACTGGGAAGAGACTCATAGCTCCTGGCTTCAGATCAGTGCAGCTCCAGCTGATGTGGCCAATTGAGGAGTGAACCAGTAGATGGAAGACCTCTCTCTCTCTGCTTCTGCCTCTCATGCTGCCTTTCAAATAAAATAAATACATAAATCTTAAAAAAAAAAAATGTTTGGCTGGTGCCGCGGCTCACTAGGCTAATCCTCCACCTAGCGGCGCCGGCACACCGGGTTCTAGTCCTGGTCGGGGCACCGGATTCTGTCCCAGTTGCCCCTCTTCCAGGCCAGCTCTCTGCTGTGGCCAGGGAGTGCAGTGGAGGATGGCCCAAGTGCTTGGGCCCTGCACCCCATGGGAGACCAGGAGAAGCACCTGGCTCCTGCCTTCGGATCAGCGCGGTGCGCCGGCGCAGCGCGCCAGCCATGGCAGCCATTGGAGGGTGAACCAACGGTAAAAGGAAGACCTTTCTCTCTGTCTCTCTCTCTCACTATCCACTCTGCCTGTCCAAAAAAAAAAAAAAAAAAGCAAAGGGAAGAGCATATAGGACCTGGCCTGGGAGAAACCAGGTACCAAGCTCTCAATTCCCTTCTCCCAGTAGAGCTTATTTTTCCCTGCATTGAGGTCTGGCAATATGCATGGAGCACAACCAGGGAAAGCCATTAAGCTCGGTAGACAGACATAGAGTTTTACTGGGGCTTGGTCATGTAGACAGAGCTGATCGCTCACTTGGCTGACCCCAGCTGCCAGCCCCTCCAGAGGCTGAGCCACTTCCTCGTGGCCCAAGACCCCCATAGATTGTTTGCTGAGGCATGAGGTCCCCAGTAAACAAAGGCCCTTCGCTCAGGCAGGGCCTTCCAAGGACTTAAGGGTGCTTACATGACCTGCGGGACAAGGCTTGAAAATTCTGGGGGGCAAGATTAATTCTTTACTGCATGGCAACCCTTGTCCATTCCGTGTTGTTGATGTTAATTGCTGTTCTGCTCTTCCATATCCATTCAGACAACTCAAGTTTAAGGAATCTCTGCTCCGAGTATAGTGGGATCAGAGTTAATAATTAAAATAGCCATAGCTCTCAGAGAGGGGACCAACAGAGGACAGGACACACAAAGACCTGTAAGTTAAAAGGGCTTAGAGCTGTAAGAGTGGCTCAGTGTGATGGGAATTGTGAAGAGGGAGACAATGAGCCCCCTGGAAAGTCTGGGTCTCACTGAGAAAGCAATCTCTCAGATGCCCCCTTGAAGGTCAAAGGTTGAAGGTCAAAGGTGGGTATTTGGAGGGAAAATGTGGCAAAATGCATGCTACACTTTTTTTTTTTTTAATTATTGGTTTGAAAGAGTGACAGAGAGAGAGAGAGAGAGAGGTCTTCCGTCCTCCGGTTCACTCCCTCAACAGCTACAACAGGTAGATCTGGGCCAGACTGAAGCCAGGAGCCAGGAACTCCATCCTGCTCTCCCACAAGGGTGGCAGGGGCCCAAGTACTTGGGCCATCGTTTGCAGACTTCCCAAGCCCATGAGCAGGGAGCTGGATCTGAGCTGAAGCAGTTGGGACTTGAACCAGTGCCCTGTTATGGGAGGCTGACATTGCAAGTGGTGACTTGACTCACTGCATCACAGCACCAGCCCTGCATACTAGATTTGTGCTAATATGATAGGCACTAGCCATATGCCATATGCCTGTTTAAATATAAATTCATTACATTTGACTGAGGTAGAAAACTCATCTCCTCAGTTGCACCCGCCACACGTCAAGTGTTCTGGTCAATGGTCCTAGGAAATCGTGACTCCTGGGTTGGCCGGTGCAGATCTGAAGAACATTTCCACAGCAACAGAAAGTTCTGTAGACAGACAGCTTTAGACGAAGGGGCCAGTCTGAATGAGGGTATGGAGAGAGGCAGGAAATTTGGGGATTGTGAAACACAGGGTTTGAGGAGCAAGTCATCCATTTTGGTTGGATCTCAGGCTGTGGGGAGAGGAGGAGAGACCAGCTCTTCCATAACACTAGGGGTCATGGCATGCGCCTATGAAGACAGCTGCCCCTCCATGGAATGGCTGGCCACGATATCCCAGCCTCGCAGACCAGTAAAGAATGAAAGTGTGTAAACAAGGGTGATCGGATGGTGCAGGGCATCTGGAGTTGTTAGCAACATTTAATCTCTAGATACTCTTAGGCCACATGCTGCTCGAAGAATGATAATTATATTGTCATTAAATATATTGTATCGAGGCCATCACTGTGGCATAGGATGGGCACCAGTTCGAGTCCTGGCTGCTCCACTTCCCATCCAGCTCTCTGCTATGGCATGGGAAAGCAGTAGAAGATGACCCAAGACCTTGGGCCCCTGTACCCACGTGGGAGACCTGAAAGAAGCTCCTGGCTCCTGGCTTTGGATCAGCGCAGTTGCAGTCATTGTGGCCAGTTGGGGAGTGAACTAGTTGATGGAAGACCTCTCTCTCTCTCTCTCTCTCTCTCTCTCTCTCTGCCTCTCGTTCTCTCTCTGTGTAACTCTTTCAAATAAATAAATCTTTAATATATATATATATATTGTATCACTTTGGTTGTTTTATTTAATTTCAATGCTATTCTGTTTCTAGGGTTGTCTGCATGAATTAATATGGTTGCCTATTCATGACTTAAAGCAAATAAAGATGTATTTTTGTTGGCTTATATATTTAACTGGAGTTAATTCTATAGCAAACATATTTAGAATCATAAACAGTGTTTTATCACATATAACTATGGTATATGACACAATTGTATTTAATGCTGCTTCATTGCAATATTAGAGTCTGACTCTACTTGTGAAAAGTAGGAAATTAAAGGAGGTAAAGCAGAAACCACACCAAGAAGAGTTGAACACAGATGAAAGAACTGTTGAGAACATGGAATGACTGGCCCTTGAGGCAGGAAGACAGAGAGGCAAAAACAATTGTTATGGGGGAGGCTTGGACACTTTATGTTACTGAATCTAAGACATCATCAAATGTTAGATGCGGGGTGGCGCTGTGGCATAGTGAGTAAAGCTGCCGTCCTGTGTGGGCAGCAGGTCGAGTCCCGGATGATCCACTTCCAATCCCCTCTCTGCTGTGGCCTGGGAAAGCAGTAGAGGATGGCTGAAGTGCTTGGGCCCCTGCACCCATCTGGGAGACCTGGAAGAAGCTCTTGGCTCCTGACTTCAGATCAGCCCAGCTCTGGCCATTGCGGCCATTTGAGGATTGAGCCAGCAGATGGAAGACCTCTCTCTTTCTCTCTGCCTTTACCTCTCTGTAACTCTGCCTTTCAAATAAATCTTAAAAAAAAAAAAAAAAGTTAGATGCACCCATATTTTATATACCACCAAGAAAGAAAAAAAAGCTAATTAAATGATGGCATGCCAATGATTATAAGATGGATCTTGAGTTCATCAATATTAAATTGTGAAAAATATGCATGTTAGAATAAAAAAAAGGGTGCCCTACAAAAACTGATGATTGTTGACACCAGGGAACTCACAATTACCAAGCACTTATCTTCAAGACTTTGTACTAGGGTGGGCGTTGGGGTGGTGGCAGACAGATGATTGAATGGTAAACACCCTTTGGTCATTAAGGAGCTTCCACTCTAAGGGGTGTGGATCAAAGGGAGGAAGACCATAAAAATTGAGGATCAATATTTGGGGTAAATTTTGAGCAATGGATAGACAGTTTCAACTTCCAGAAAAGGAGGGGAGGGGATGATAGCCTGACAGAACAAAAGCTCATGTGTGTCCAGGGTCAGTGAATACACACGCTCTGGAATGTACAAAAAAGATAAGATTGGAAAAGTAGGTTGGGGCAAGAAGGACTTTCAGAAGGGAGGAATGAGACTTTTGCAACATTCATTAATTTATCAAGAGTCCAAGCTGATATATCATCAAGCAGTTTTAGTGGCTAGTGATAGAAACCTAACTAAAAATAGTGCAAATGAAAAATGGAATTCAACACAAGGATGCCATAAGGATTCACAAAATGAGAGAGAATTCAGAGGAAGCAGAGATGCTCTGGGATCTGAGAGTTTGGGACTGGGACTCAGCCATTGTGTTGAGTGTCCTCTTTCCACCCACCACTCTGGCCGCCTTCTCCTCCTGCTGTGCATGTTGGGGGTGGGGAGGGTTAGGGTTGGGAGTGGAGGCTCCATGGCCATGACAATCGTGGGCCCCTAGCCTTCTATTCCTATGACCTTGGTTTACACCACTTAGAACAGACCCAAGAAAGGAATGGGGTCTGGGGCAGGCCAAGTGTGTTGAAGACACTCAGGGCTCGGTGCTGTGCTTACGTTTGGAAAACTACAAACCTTCAAAATAAGCATCTGCACAAGGGAGACAATGAGCTTGAAACCATAAGGCTATTTAATGTGAGGACGGCAACGAAGAAGGAAAATAATGATGGGAACCGTAGAGAAAGTCCTCGCTGCCTCAGTCATGTTTAACAGACTGGAGGCCAGAGGAAAGGGCTTCCGTGCCTGGAGGACAAGGAGTCTGAGTCTGATGAGGCAATGGACTTGTGAAATAAGAAGTTATGAACATGGGGCTGGCGCTGTGGCATAGCAGGTAAAGCCACCACCTGCAGTACCTGCATCCCACATGGGCGCCAGTTTGTGTCCCAGCTACTCCACTTCTGATCTGGCTCCCTGCTAATGTGCCTGGGAAAGCAGCAGAAGATGGCCCAAGTGCTTGGACCCCTGCACCCACGTGGGAGACCCAGAAGAAGCTCCTAGATCCTGGCTTTGGATCGGCCCAGCTCTGGACGTTGCAGCCATTTAGGGAGAGAACCACCAGGTAGAAGATTCTCTCTCT